AAGAGGGGATATTTAAGAACTTGAAGAATGTACAGAATGCCGCCCTACAGCAAAGGGAAGGGCATTCCAAACTAAGAAAATAACAACATAAATGCATGAGTATGAAATGGTATGGCGTACTGGGGGAAAAGCAAGTAATTCACTCAGGGGGTCAAAAGAAAGGGGAATGAATGGCATGAGGTTGAAGTATTGGCAGACCACTTCAAATTTATTACTCATTTATTTGTACCCAAAGTGGTTCCAAAGAAAGACTATCCGAGGCAGTTGGTAGGAGATGAAGGTAAAATATATTTTGGATTATTCCACTCCACATATATTTTGCAATAATCAAATCACACTACGAACAACACCCTTTGAACTCCCTTTGAGTGGTCCCTCTATGCGTTAGGTCTTATGATGAAATATTTCAGGCATTACAAAGCATATAAAATAGTTTGAAAGACAACAATAAAAATGAGCATCCATGAATCCACTACTACCCTAGCCTTAAATAGTCCATCTGTTTCCTTCCAAGATTATGTTCCCTTTCCTCCTTACTCCCAGATGAGCAGAATTCTGAATTTTGTATTAATCTTCCACTGCTTTTCTTTCAAGTTTTACCACTTGTGCAAGCTGACTCATATGTTTTTAGCTATTAATAAATAATACTTATATGCATTCTTCTGTACTTGCTTCTTTTGCTTAATTTATGTTTTTGCAATCCATCCATACTGATAAGTCAAGCTCTAGTCCATTCACTTCCACTACTGTTAAATGTTCCACTGTTTTGAATATACAGTAACACATTTAGCTCTTCTGTTGACGAACAATTATAAAAAATGCTACCAAAAATATACCAGATTGATATATTCAAGAGTTTCCCTTTGATATATCTGGTGGTAGCGATGTTATTTTAAATATTGAACAACCTTGGGATGCCTAGATGACTCAGTCAGTTAAGCATCTGCCTTCGGCTCAGGTCATGATCCCAGGGTGCTGGGTTCAAGTCCTGCATCAGGCTCACTGCTCAGTGGGGAGCCTGCTTCTCCCTCTGCCTGTTGCTCCCCCTGCTTGTGCTCTCTCTCTCTGACAAATAAATAAGTAAAATCTTAAAAAAAAAAACAAATATTGAACAACCTATATGGCATGGGTACTGATCAGTGTGACAAGGGGAGGTGGCCATAAACCACTGGGTAAGGTTGCACACCAATTTCAGTCTTGACTAGCAGAATTGCTAGGACACAGGAAATGCACGTCACATAATGAAAGTGATTGACTGTATGTATGTATACTCCCCACTCCCGAGGGGAGTGTGTGCAAATTCCTGTACTTCCCCATCCTCACCAAATGTCTTATCTCCTAAATTTAAAAATCTGAATGGTATGAAATGCTATCTTGTGTTTTTAATTTGCATTTCTTTGATTGCTAATGAAGTTCTTGCCATGTTTATTCAACATTTATGTTGCACTTGGCCTTAGAGTCTATTTTGCTGATATTAATATAGCTACATCAACTTTCTTTTGGATCAGGTTGCTGGTATATACATTTCCATCCCTCTTCCAACATTTCTCTATCTTTAAAATTTAAATGTATCTCTTGTAAACATCATCAAGTTTGGTTATGTTTTATATCCAGTCAGAAAATACTGTAATTTCCTTTTTGGAGCACTAACTATAATGAGTGATATTGCTATGCATTATTTTACGATTATTTTAGTAGTTAGACCAGAGATTTCAATGTGAATCTTTGACTTATTACAGTCTCATACAAATTCTCACATTCTCACTTTTCAACAGTGCTGCAAGTTTAGTACCATTTAACTCCATTTACCCCTCTCCTATCTTATCTTGTAATTATTGTCACACATTGTTGTTCTAGATACACTTTAAATTCCACAAGACATTTCAATTACTGTCTTGATTGGCCCACATGTACATCCTGGACTCTGCTGACTTCGAGCTACACCTGGGACTGAAAGAATAATATTCCATTATAATAGAATATATAAAATTTCTTTATCCTTTCATCCATTGAAGGACACTTAGGATGCTTCCATAGCTTGGCTATTATAAATAATGCTGCAATAAACATACCTTTTCAAGTTAGTGTTTTCACTTGCTTCATATAAATACCCAGAAGTGGAATCGCTGGGTCATATGAGTAGTGCCATCTTTATTGTTTTGAGGAAACTCCATGCTTTTTTCCCATGGCTACACCAGTTTACATTCCCACCAACAGTGCATGAAGGTTCTCTTTTTCTCCACATCTTCACCAACACTCATTATTTCTTGTCTTTTTAAAAATAGCCAACCTAACAGGTATGAGGTGGTATCTCACTGTGGTTTTCATTTGCATTTCCCTGATGATTAGTGATGTTGACCATCTTTTTATATAGATGGCTTCCTATATTACTCAGCATAAAAGTCATAGTTCTTACTATGGTCTCCATGATCTTATCCCTTTACAACTCTTCCTTGTTCACATTAGCCTCCTAGCTGTTTCTCAAACATATCAAGCTGATTGTACCACAGGGCTTTTGCACCAGCTTTTCTCATTGCCTCGAAAACTCTCCCCCCAGATATCCACACAATAGTCTCCCTTACTTCATTCAGGAATAGGCATTAATATGAATTTCCTTAACCACCCTATCTAAAATAGCACTTTCTCTCCCTTGTCAACACCTGACATCACAGAGCATTATCATTCCTGTTTGTTGTTTATTTCCCTTAACCAGAATGTAAGCTCCCTGAAAGTGAGGGTTTAAAAATTTTTGTTGCCTAGTTCCTACAACATGAAGAAGTATTTATCAAATTCATTAATTCACTCATTCATTCAACCAGACAACAAATATTTAGCATACCTATTATATCAGGCATTTTTCCAGATGCTGGGGACACAGCAGTGAACCAAACAGGCAAAAACAGAAAAAATTCTTCTCCTCATGGAGCTTACATATTCATAGAATAAATTAATGAACTGTTAATACTATGAGCTTATAGAAACAAAAGGTTATAGGCACATAAAAATTTAAAAGGGTAAAGAAGGCCACTAGGTTGTGGCCAACTTTTCTTTTTTAAGTAGGCTCTTTGCCCAGCATGGAACCCAGCATGGGGTTTGAACTCACTACTCTGAGATCAAAACCTGAGCTGAGATCAAGAGCTGGGCGCTTAATCAACTGAGCCACCCAGGCACCCCCAGCCATCTTTCTAATAAATATTCCCAAGTTTTCATTGATAAGAATTACAACTATGGATCAAATTTTAAAAACCATTGGGACTATCTTTGGTGTCTTATAAAAATCGCTGCTTCCAAAACTAAATGAAGTTTGTTTTCTTTTGTTGACATAAGAACATCTCAGGATTGATTTTGTACAAGGATTGATTTTGTACAAGGATTGATTTTAGACCTAGGTTACACAGAAACATAAATGTAAAACATGAGAAACCTGTTTTATCAGTTATTCTAAGAGTGGTACATTTTCAAGAACAGTATCTCATATTCTGAATTTGAACATATGAATGCTGGGAATATAAATACTTTGAGGGACCAAACTTCTTTTTCCTGGTCATAACACAAAGTCCACAGTTTATAATAAATAATATAATAATATTAGTTGTATTAAAATGTCTTCTGACATTACCAATCCAAATTGCCTTCCAAAATTAGTCTAAAAGAGAGTTTACATTTTACTTTCTAATTATGAATGACTATTTATTTTGTGTTATAAAAGTAGTAATTGTTTATTGTCCTAGAATGCATAAAAACACATCTGGATAATGTTCCTTACAGAAAATGAAGAAGGGGGAAGTGTATAAAATGATTAAAAATCAGTAGTATAAATCAGATAAATTATTATGTATTCCTAATCCTTTGAAACAAATAGTAGAATGTTGATATTGTGTATACATGACAAAATTTCGTATTAATCAGAAGACTAAAGCCACTTCTAAACGCGATCCTTGACACTACCACCAAGGTTACTCTGTGTGAATCCTGGGTCATAAATGTGTTTACTAAGAAAGAAAATTTAACCTAAAACAACCTAAGGACAATCTTGGAAGGCTGGCTTAATATATTTACAGGATTCCTAAGCTTAAATTAAAAATCCAACTACATGGACGCTAAAATGTTACACTGGCCAATGTAATGTATGGTGATTAACATAATTAAAAAAATCAATAAAAATAAAGCTCTTCTATTACTTTCAAAAAAAAATGTTACACTGGCCAATGGACAAGTAGAGCTGAAAGATAAAACGCAGGAAATCTAGTTAAATTTGAATTTCAGATAAACAAGTCTTTTGGTAGAAATATATTCTGTGCAATTTTTATACTAAAAGTTTACTCATTGTTTATCCAAACTTCAAATTTCCCTGGGCAATCTCCACTTTGATTTGCTAAACTGGGAACCCTAAAACAAAATGAACTAAAACCTCGGTGTATTTCGAAGCAGTAACCTAAGCCTCAAGGTTCATTTGAGAAAGTGCAGGTGCTATACCCGCGCTCTAAATTGTCTCTCCATCATACCCCTTTTTGGCTTCGCAAAAAATACTCTAGGGAGCCTTGAAGTGTGGCTCAATAACGTAACGTGGAATACGAAGAGGAAAGATGTTGGCTTTGTAAAAAGAGTTCTTAATTCAGACAGGCACATTTCTGGAAACGATGGGGAAGAGGAAGACGCGCGCGGCGGGAAGCTGGGCACAAACCGGACCCTCGAACCTTCGGAGGGAAAGGGCGCACGGAGGCGGGACAGCGCCGGGCAACCGCGCGGGCCGATCGATTAGCGCGCGCGCCTGGCGGGGGGCGCGGCCGCCGGGATAGACGAAGGGCGCCCGTTACAGCTTAACCGCCGGTCGGACAAGGGCGCGGGGGGGCGCCATCGGTCAAACACCTCATACGAGAGCGGGCGACAGCGCCAGGCTCTCACGTCGCCCCGCTTCTCTCCTCCCCACCCCCACCCCCACCCCGGGCCGCCCTGGCAATCCCGCAGCCCCGAAGCCGGAGAAGCTAGCCGCAGCTCACTGATTCGAGTCATCCTGGAGATGCAAAAGCAGGAAAAGCTTAAGAGCATGACGGCGGCCAGGGCGATCAGCGCGTTCACGTGCTTGGTCCTCATGGAGCTGGACTGACTGCCGGCAACCCCCAGCGTTGGGAGTGGTGGCGACTCGGAGCGCGCCCCCCGCAGCGGAGGAGGAACGCAGGCCGCGCCTGCGCCGCGGGGCGCGCGCCCCCGCGCCCCCTGCCCCCCCATCCCGCCCCTGTCGCTGGGGACCCCAGCATGCCCGCCCGTTGGGAGCCCCCTTCCGTGGCTCAGCACTTAGCGTCTCGAACCCGTTGCTAGGACCGCTGGTGGTTCAACGTTATAAACTTTGGGCAAGCGCTTCACTGCCTAGCATGTGGTTGGTGGGTGCTCAGTAACTGTTACTTTATTTTCCTGTAGCTGTACTTCTGTGCCAGACCCTAGGCTAAGCAGTTTGTATATATTATCTTGGTAAATCCTCAAACATCGCAATTTTTTAAAGGCAAGATGACAATAGTTCTAATATGCTATTGTTCTCTTCATTTTATCTTGAAAAATGGGAGCCATTGTGAAATTGAGCCATTTGCTATTGGGACTGAGCAATATGTTATTGGTTCCTCCACAAATCGTGTACCTAGATAAGTTTATAAATAAAATTTGATAAGAAGGTCCTAAATAAAGTGAGTATCTTTAGTTTTAAATGAAAGCCATCAAATGCCCAAATAACTCGGGGGCTTAGATTTTTGCGTGGGAAATGGCCAACGCCAGACACTCAGCTTAATCCCTTTATTTTTTATATTTTGGTACCTCCTCCCCCAGGAAAGGAGCAGGGAATCAACGTTTGTGAAAGAAAGAAGTTATATATGAGTAGACCAACGAAGACTTGCTAAGCTATGCCAAGGTCAAGGTATCAGTTTCTCAGCCCCTTAAAAACCAAGCCTGGGGGGGGGGGGGCCTGGGTGGCTCAGTCGTCAAGCGTCTGCCCTCGGCTCGGGTCATGATCCCAGGGTCCTGGGATCGAGCCCCACATCGGGCTCCCCGCTTGGTGGGAAGCCTGCTCTTCCCTCTCCCACTCCCCCTGCCTGTGTTCCCTCTCTCACTGTGTCTCTTTCTGTCAAATAAATAAATAAAATCTTTAAAAAAAAAAAACCAAGCCTGGGAAATACTAGGAGAAAATCAGTAGGTTGATGCTCTCTTTGGGATCCTTGAACTGTGGTTTGCTGTTTGGATTCTCCACGCTGATCAATCTTCTTATTGGGCATCTGGTAATAAGCTACTTCAAACCAGCCCTACACCACTGGCTGAGCTAGTTTCTGGCTCCTTGAAAGAGAAAAAAGATTTGAACATATGCCAACCTGAGGATGCCATTATAAGCTGTATTTTCTCATGTGCTGATGGCAGGAGGTGTGACCTTCAGTTGAGCAGTGACCCAGCCAGATCCCAGGATTGGGAGGCAAGAGGAACACCTCAACTCTATTCTCCCTCAGCCCTCGGGTCCCTTGCCAGTATCCCCCATTGGCTAAGCTCTACCGGAAGCCAGAAGGCAAGGAAGTTCTGTATAGTGTACTAGATCTTAGGACCTGCCTCCTGGGGTATGGAGCAGGGTAGAGAAAGATGTAGAGCAGACTGACCTGCGGCAAGAGGCTATTCAGCACAGGATATCTCCAAATTCAATCTGTCACAGTCCTCTTACTTGGTCTCCAGTTTCACACTTTCAGCTTTGCATTGAAAAGCAAACGATGTCAGAATCCACTCGCAGTATGTTGGGAAAGTTTTTAATCCTCTCTAAGTTAGGGTTTAACAAAAAGATGACATGAATAATATCTGTTCCAGGTTGCTGAGTTAAATAACATTCAAAACCAATTAGCATATGCCTTGTCATTATGTAATGCTCAATACATTTTGGTTCTCTGCTGTTGCTCATCAGAAGCAGTATCAGTTTTCTCACTAATTCTAATTATCATTTTTCTACAAAGCAGTGGAGAGCTTTCCCATAGTTTATGGCATTTAACTACCATTAATTATTATTTTTTCTATATTATTTTGAGCAGACTACCTGCTCAAAAATCCTTTAGCAACTCTGTTAAAAGTGAAAAGTGTTAACGTGGAATCCAGAGCCATTCGCAATCTGGTTCCATCTACCTTTCCAGCTATTCTCCCTATTCCAGCTCTGTAGATGCCTCTAATGTAGTACTCAAAAGTTCTACTCCACTCAAACCCACCAAATACCATGTTTTCAAGATTCAGAAAAGCACTTTGTTCTCACATCTTAATGAATTTTTTTGAAATCAGCATGTGTCTTCTGATTTTTCCTTTTATAGAGTTACTTATTTTTCTTTTGCCTTTTTTTCCAAAGAAAGGAAAAACCAAAAACTTGATAATCAGGGCCACCTGGGTGGCTCAGTTGGTTAAGTGTCTGCCTTTGGCTCAGGTCATGATCCCAGGGTCCTGGGATGGAATCCTGCAGCTCCTCAGCGGGGAGTCTGATTCTCCCTCTCCCTCTGCCCCTCCCCCTTGTTCTCTCTCACTCAAATAAATAAATAAAATCTTTAAAAAAACGTGATAATCAGTCAATGGTTTGTCTATGAGTCGGAACTCATGATAGTCACTGAACATCTACTCTGTGCTGGTCACTGAACTACGTACTGGAGATACAAATGGTCACCTGCTGGTTCTGGGCTCCACCTTCTTCATGCTCGAACATGGACTGCACTGCACACACTCAGACTCCGACCTTCCAAATGTATTCAAGACTCAGCTGAAATGACACTACGTGAAGCCTTTGGTGATCACCCATGTGTAAAGAAATCTCTATCCTCTTTGAAATCTTGTAGCATTTGTGTTCTCTCTCAGGACACTCAATATTTATTTGTTATGCACATATTTTATTTCCTTTACCATGGTATGAGTCCCTACAAGAGAAAGATTATGCCTTACCTATTTCCATATCCTACTTCCCCCTGTGGATTCAAGGGTGTTTTATAGATCAAAAGTAGGATTGAAGCACAAGCCTATAGTACAACTGAGCAATATTCTCAACGAACTACCTGCAGTTACTAGCTGCTACCACTTAAGACAACAATAAATACACTCCAGGAAATCCAGTGGATAAATAATACAGTAGCATTTTCAAAGACCTTCAGACTTCCCTTTTTGCGATTTGTTTTCTAAAATTAGTGGCACATTCAGACCATGGGAAGTAGAGAATTGCCAGGCCAAATAATTGCTCAATATGTATAGGAATATTTATAGAATAATAATAGGAATGGGGAGAGTATTCTCTGGGGGTATTACCAGCCATCGGGGCTTCTTGAGTTAACTTCAGTCTAAATGGTGGTCTCACGACTGTTAGCACAGAAAAATAAACTAAGTGGGGACAAATTTTTCTAGTCTTGTTTATATGTAGGATCCTGAAGGTGAAAAGAATCTGAAAGATAATAACTTGATAAAATGCCAGTTACCCTGGCCCTGTTGTCTGTTTCAAGTTATTTAGAAATAAGTCACTGTACCCACCCGAGTGCCATTTGTTCAGCACAATTCAGGAAAATGACAGCACTAAAGGAACTTTTATAGATCATCTGACAAATAAATAAAATCTTAAAAAAAAAAGGAATCACCTGGAAATCTTGCTAGAGTTCTGGGCCCACCTTCAGTTACTCAGTGGGGTAAGGCTGGGACTCCAAAATTTGCATTTCTAACAAATCCCAGATAATATTGATGCTGCTGGTCCAAAGGATGACACTTTGGGAATCATTGCACAGTAGCACTTCATAGAATCATAGGTTGGATTTAGAAAAAGGTATAGATTACCTAGTTTATTCTCTTTGTTCAAACCACCCCCAAATACCCAATTAATAGAGACACCATATTCTCTACCACTAGTGAGGGGGATTCCATTATGTGCCCTGGTCATTATATTCTAGAAGTTAACAATACTTATAAAAATTTGTCTCATATCCCCAAATGTACTAAGACAGGCCTGATTAGGAAAAAAGAAAAAAAGAAAAAAAAAGGCTTCAAGTTTCTGGAATTGTCCCCATGAATTGAAAGTCTATAATCCTACCAAAGCGGCCTGCCTAGGTGAGAGCTAAAATCAGCACGTGCTCCAACTGTACTCTGATGCAGGATTGTGTCTGTTCAGAGCAAGGAATGTATTTTATACTAAGTCACACCAAAGCATCAAGTAGGCTGACGGAAGTCTCGCCGTCCTTGGAAGGAGTGGAACAAGCACAAGGCATTGTCCCAGTCCTAACAAAAACTAGGAAGCCACCTAGATTACCACATGCGGTACCTAGAAAAGCAGCAGAAAAACAAGCATGGCTCATAAATCACAACCCAAATGACAGTGCCAATCTTCTACCATCGGGGCAGGGGCTCAGGGGTCCTGTGTCATGGTTTTCTCCAGATTATCCTGGCGGAGTTTTCTTTTTTTTTTCTTTTTTTTTTTTTTTTTAAAGATTTTATTTATTTGACAGAGAGAGACAGTGAGAGAGGGAACACAGCAGGGGGAGTGGGAGAGGGAGAAGCAGGCTTCCCGCTGAGCAGGGAGCCCAATGCGGGACCCGATCCCAGGATCCCGGGATCATGACCTGAGCAGAAGGCAGACCTCAATGACTGAGCCCGCCAGGCGTCCTTACTATCAGACACTCTTGAGGACTGAGCATAACAGTCTCTTTCCCCAGCATCATCATTTACTTGTTCTCCTTCTTTTAAAATTTCATCTTTTTTCCATTTATCACCTGTCAGAATATAGACCTGGTCTCCCCAGGCAAGGGCTTCTGGTTCAGCCATGCTCTCAATCCAAAAAGAGAGCAGCAGTTGGAAACTTGCGAGGGCCTCCCCTCTGTCCGTTCTCAGGAGGAAGTGGTAGGGTTGCCTCAGCTAAGTACAACATAGTTATAATCCCACTCTATGGGGTCCCTGGGAGAAGTGGAGTTCAACATACAGCCAATCCTTGTTTGGCCACATGATGTGAAGTCACTATCCAACACAGGGGGTTCCTTCAAATTATGCACATTATGTAGAATGGACTGGGGAACAATTCCCTTCCCCTGGGTCTTCCCTGTGAAATGTTGGTCCTTAAGCACGGGATCCAATA